GAGAATAGCCAAAGGGACACATCTGCTGCGAATCGTGTGTATTACATTTCTACTGTTATTTATTCCACTTTATAATATTTTGATAAATCTTTAACAAATTAATTTCCACGGACCTCAAGAAGCAACCACACTCGAAAACTATTGTATGGGCCAACTTACATTATCTATTGGGATTTCCATTTCCAGTTTATATGGCCCAATTCTTATTACAATTTCGATGACCTAAAATATTAATTTAATTTAATTTGACTTGAGATGATGGAAAATATATTTCAAATTACTTAGTAACAACTGATTTTTTTTAATATATTTGAATGTTCTGTTCTGGATGAGAATTTAATGCTTTCTTTTAACGTCATGTTTTGTAATCCGTATATTTAAAAAATACCCACATTTGTTGTTGTTTTTGTTTCCTCCAATAAAAACTGACACATTTCTTACAATGTTTTTGTGCAAATTGATAATAATGAAAAAGAAAGCAGTATGGACTTGAGATACATTATCGTTCCTGATCATCCATCGCATCTAGGGCGTTTATTAACCGAATAACAACGGTGAATTCATTTTTTTATAGTTTGTGATGGATATTTTAATCTCTTAGGGTTCGATTGGTTGTACTGCAGCGGTTGCAGTTGCGGGTGGCAGCGTTTTCAGAACGTTTGATAGCGATTATAAATGATTAGTACTGATTGGTTGAGAAGTTGCTGTTGATAGCGATTGCGGGTGGGTGCAGTTAGAAGTGAATGGTTCATTACGGTTGCGGTTGTGTTTTGATATAAATTGTCAAAAAAAAATATTATTTAAAAATAATTTTTTATAATAGTTTTAATTAAATTTTTCGTATCATTTGATAAAAATTATTTACTAAATTTATAATAATTAAATAATAAATTTAAAATATAAATATTATCAATTTAATTTATTTTTAAGTAAAAAAATAATTTTATTATAAAAATTATTAAAAATAATCATTATTAAACTTAAAAATTATACTATTGTATTTTTTTATTAAATATAATACTAAAAAATAATATCAAATCATAACACTAAACAAAATCATCACCAATATATATATATATATATTAATGTTTTATATAATTTCTAATAAAAATATTTTAGTTTTTTTGTCAAAACGCCGGAAACCGCTACCAAAACGCAAGTTGGAAGCTGCGATTAGAAAACACAAGTTTGGTTGCGGTTGCGGTTGGTTGCGGTTCAACCAGTCAGTTTTTCAATCGCTCGCAATCGCCGGAAATCGCAACCGCTCCATTTGCGGATGGCGGCGGTGCAACCAGTCACCCCCTTATTCCGTCGTTAGGGCGTTGCCTTCCGTCATATTTTTTCCCTGCGATAGAATTTCCATCGTAAACGTCGTCTCATTATGTATATCTTGTAGTGGTCGCAGATGCAGTGAGCTTGTTGACACAAAAAGGATAGCGGAGCCGTGATGGAGGGTTTTGAGTGCTTTGGTGGACACTACAAAAAAAGCGCTAAAATACGACGGACATTGCGACGGAAATGTCCGTCGCACTAAAATTAACGACGGCTAACGACGGAATACAGACGGAAAACAATCTAACGTAATCCGTAGATTTCCGTCGCAACATAAGACGACGGAATTTGACGGACGATTCCGTCGCAAAATCTTTGCGACCGAAAACGAGGGAATTCCGACGGAAGTATACGACGGACTATCCGTCGTAACAAGTGGCTACGGATACCGACCGTCTTCTCCGTCGCAAGTGTTACGACGGAAAAGTTCGACGCAGTCCGTCGTTTTTAGCGACGGATATACGACGCACCGTCTCCGTCGTATAGTTAGGTAAGAAACGTGTTTTTTTTGCTCAGAAAGTCCGTCGCAAACGGTCGCATTCCGTCATTTGTTCGGTAGTCCGTCGGTATCCGTCGTAGGGTTAGGTGAAAAACGTGTGCCGACATCCGTCGCTAGTCCGTCGCAAGTCCGTCGCAATTCTCAAGAATATTACCCCGCGCGTTTAGATCACCATCGACAAGCGAAAAAAAAATCCCACCAAACAAAAAAAACACAGAAAAAAAATGTCTTTCAATACAAGAAGATGGATGTATGAAAGAATAGATCCATACACAAATCAAATATGCAAAGATTTTGAAGAAGGATTGCAGGCGTTTATGGCGTTTGTTACATCTCAACCGTCATATATCGAAGGATCGAAACTTCCATGTCCGTGTGTGAAGTGTGAAAATACGAAATGGCAGTGTATTCAGCAAGTCTGGAATCATCTATATCGAAGAGGGTTCATGTCCAATTATTTTGTTTGGCTAGCTCACGGAGAAACATTGGACACGACGTCTTCATATGGTGTAGTTAATCAAGTCATTATCGATGAGCAGCGAAACGAATTTCAACAAGGAGAAAGAAATCCGTATTCAGAAATGGTGTTTGATGCGTTTCCAAATGTCGGTCAACCGTCTTACGGGGAGGAAGAAGAGCCAAATTTCGAAGCTAAAAGGTTCTACGAGATCCTTAATACATCGAGCACTCCAATATATGAAGGATGCATTGAAGGTCTATCGAGATTGTCGTTGTCGTCACAATTGATGAACATGAAGACTGATTACAATATTCCGGAGAAATGTATGGACGGATTTAGTCAGATGTTCAAACAATATCTACCAGAAGGTAATACTGCAACAGAATCGTATTATGAGACGAAGAGTCTGATGCGGAAGTTGGGGCTACCGTATAAAAAGATTGATGTTTGCGAAAACAACTGCATGATTTTTTGGAAGGACGACGAAGGATTGATGCAATGTCGGTTCTGTGGGAAGGATCGGTATCGGCCACGACGAAAAGCATCCAAAAAAGGCAAGTTGATTCCATTGAAAAGAATGTTTTATATGCCTATTACAGATCGATTGAAGAGATTATATCAGTCTGAGAAAACCGCATCACATATGAGGTGGCACGACGAACATTGTACTCCAGAAGGGGAAATGCATCATCCATCAGACGGGTTAGCATGGAAACATTTCCAACAGGTATTTCCTGATTTTGCTCAAGAGGCTAGAAATGTTTATCTAGCGTTATGCACAGATGGGTTTAATCCATTTGGAATGTCGGGTCGGAACTACTCTTTGTGGTCGGTGATTCTAACACCGTACAACCTACCACCCGGAATGTGCATGAGTAGAGAGTTTTTGTTCCTCTCAGTACTGGTTCCAGGACCTACACATCCTAGAAGAAGTTTAGACGTGTTTCTTCAACAATTGATAGAAGAGTTGAATGAGTTGTGGAGTGTAGGTGTCACTGCATACGATGTGTCGGTGAGGCAGAATTTTTTGCTTCGAGCAGTTCTTTTATGGACGATTAGTGATTTTCCAGCTTACTCTATGTTGTCAGGTTGGACAACACATGGTCGTCTAGCGTGTCCATATTGTATGGATGAAACTGATGCATTTTGGTTGCAGCACGGACGAAAAATGAGTTGGTTTGATAGCCATCGGCGTTTTCTACCAAGAAATCACGTGTTACGACGCAAGAAGAAGAATTTTCGAAGAAATATAGTTGTTGTTGATTCTGCGCCACTTGAACATATCGGGGATGAAATTTTACTTGAACGAATCGAAGAATGTGTAAATGAGTTGGTTTGATAGCCATCGGCGTTTTCTACCAAGAAATCACGTGTTACGACGCAAGAAGAAGAATTTTCGAAGAAATATAGTTGTTGTTGATTCTGCGCCACTTGAACATATCGGGGATGAAATTTTACTTGAACGAATCGAAGAATGTGTCCGGTCACATGGATTATCTACTACATCAGTGGTTGGTGGTAACGGTCATTTACCGATTGAAAGATATGGTGATTATCACAACTGGCATAAGAAGAGTATATTTTGGGAATTGCCATATTGGAGACATCATAAATTACGACACAATCTTGATGTTATGCATATCGAAAAGAATTTTTTCGATAACATCATTAATACAGTGTTGAACGTTGCTCAGAAAACAAAAGACAATATCAACTCAAGGAAGGATATAGGGTTGATTTGTTCGATGAAGGATTTGGAACTTACACCTGATGGAAAGGCGCTAGTACCAATTTTCCGTGTGTTTGGAGAAGCGATGATGAACCTTTTTAGATGGTTACAGGAAGATGTGAAATTTCCTGATGGTTACTCGTCAAATATTTCGCGATGTGTTGACCTCGGAGGAAAAAAGTTAACAGGTATGAAGAGTCATGATTGTCACGTCTTCATGCAACGATTGTTACTTATTGCATTTGCAGAGATACTTCCGGAACATGTCAACCAAGCTATATCAGGTATGTTTTGTTTCGTAGTAGCGATTTTAATATTACTTAAGATCTTTACACATGTGCTTTAGTTATATATTGATATTGTATTTATAACCTCATGTTTTTTAACCGTAGGAATTAGTAACTTTTTCCGGGAAATCTGTGGTCGAACATTGAAAAATGGAGACGTCTAGTTGATGAAGCAAAATATTGTTCTAATTTTGTGCAATTTAGAGAAGATATTCCCACCATCTTTTTTTGATGTGATGGAACATCTGCCAATTCATCTGCCACGAGAAGCGGAACTCGGCGGTCAGGGTCAGTTTAGGTACGTATATACATTAATATTGTCTATATGATTTTAATTATGTATATGAATGGATACGTAGATTTATTGTGCAATTGTTGTAGATGGATGTACCCGTTTGAGCGGTTTATGTACCACTTGAAACAAAAAGCGAAACAAAAGGCGTTTGTTGAAGGAAGCATTGCAGAGCAATATATAAACGAAGAAATATCATTCTTCACCTCGTATTATTTTGAAGATCAAGTGCAAACAAAGAATAAACAACCAAACAGATCATTTCACACCGTAGATGGACCGGAGTACGGAATGTTGTCATGGATATCCCGCAATGTTTCTATAGAAAAGGACGATGTGGTGGTCGAGAAATCGATGCACATTTATCGGACAAAGATTACCATGTGGTCCACACGTATGTTTGTTGAACTGTGAAGAAGTTCTACCGTTCGAAAGGTGCGTATATACGTATTTATTTTTTAATTGAATGGTCAGTTAAACTTATATAATTTGTCTTGTGATTTTTTGTAGGATTTTTGATGATCAGGTATTCAATACGTACGGTGATGTGAATGATGATCAATTAAGCCAGATTAAAGAGAACGGATTCGCAACCTGGTTAAAAGAATTTGTACGTAAATCGAATAAGTAAATTAAATAATATCACATAGGGAAGAACACTAATCACATGCCAAATTGTTGGTCGATTGTTTTTTACAGATTGAATCATCGCAAGAAGATCATCCATTGTGGTTATACGAGTTAGTTCAAGGTCCAATTCGGCTGGTCAAATGTTGGCCAATGTTCTCTACGAGAAGATATTTATTTCATACATATGAACATGGGCAACATCGTTCGACGGCAAATTATGGTATATGTGTGAAAGGCTCGAGTTATTGTGCTTCGGATGATGAACCAGATTTCCATGGCATTCTTCAGCAAATTTTCCAAGTACAATATCCGGGTCATATTGGACTCAAAGTGATGATTTTCAGATGTGACAGGTTTGATCCGACGCCGGGACGCGGAATACGGATCAACAAATCAGGGATCACTGATATTTGTTACTCCCATCGATATAGAAAATACGACCCTTTTATACTGGCATTCCAATCCGACGCCGGGACGCGGAATACGGATCAACAAATCAGGGATCACTGATATTTGTTACTCCCATCGATATAGAAAATACGACCCTTTTATACTGGCATTCCAATCAGATCAGGTATGTTTTATCCCTTATCCAAGAGATAAAACGCGAAGAAGTGACATCGATTGGAAGGCCGTTATCAAGATTAATCCAAGAGGGACCATTACATATGACGGATCAGTGGAACAAAGCCCGCTACAGGAAGAACACACAGTTATAGCTGTCGCGGAAACAATTGATGTGGAGAGGCTAGTAGTGAAACAAGGGATAGTTGAAGAACTAGAAATTGGAAACCTCGATGAAGAAGGCGATAGCAGTGAAGACACCAATCCCGAAACAACGGAAACATCATCGTATGGTTCATTTGATTAATTATGTAATGTGTGTATTTTTATTTTAATTTTTTTTAATTATTTTTCTATTTTGCGACGGATATTATCCGTCAGTATTTTTCTGCCCTTTATTTCTGAAATTTTCGCAAATTTTTTGAAAATTTTAAAATCCATGTGCGACGGATAGATTCCGTCGTTAAATAAGATACTCCGTCGCTAATGGCCACGTGTTCAAACATTAGCGACGGTTTCCGACGGTTAAGTTCCGTCGCAATTTGTAATACATATCGGATTCCTCTTCTTTCTTCTCCGCCTCGACGCGAAAACAGAATCTCTCCCTGGGATTTCCGGTAATCGGTGCGATTTCCGGCCACCCACCGTCCAAGACAACCTGTCTGATGCCGTGCGAGGTAAGTCTTTCCTCTCTCCTTCTCTCCCTTGGTGATGATTCGCTGAAGCTTGGGTTTAGGGTTTCGATGAGATTTGTGCGAAAATTCTAAGATCCGAAAATTTTCGGATTTTCTGGATGATTTTCGGCGAATTATGGAGTGATTTCGCGATGTTTTGGATTGTTTCGATGGGATTATGGTTTCATTTGGGGTTTAGGATTTCAGATTTAGGGTTTCAGATTTAGGGTTTCGTTTGGGGTTTCGTTTGGGATTTAGGGTTTCTGATTTAGGGTTTCAATATTATGGTTTAAATTCGGTATTAGGGTTCCAATTATCAATTTAGGGATTATGGTTTCATTTGGGGTTTAGGGTTTCGTTTGGGATTTAGGGTTTCGTTTGGGGTTTAGGGTTTCTGATTTTAGGGTTTAGGGTTACGGTGATTATGGTTTAAATTCGGTATTAGGGTTCCAATTATCAATTTAGGGATTATGGTTTCATTTGGGGTTTAGGGTTTTGTTTGGGGTTTAGGGTTTCGTTTGGGGTTTAGGGTTTCGTTTGGGGTTTAGGGTTTCATTTGGGGTTTAGGGTTTCGTTTGGGGTTTAGGGTTTCATTTTTAGAGTTTCAGATTAGGGTTTCAATTCTCTTTTATATGGTTTCAATAAGCAAGTTAGATGTTACGATTTACGGTTTAAAGGGTTTAGAATTTCTATATGTAGATGAGTCAGTCACGTTCCGGGAGTAGATCGGGTAGGGGAGTCCGATCTCGCGGACGAGGATCCGGTGTTTCTAGTCCTTCTACCCCTACTTCTCAGCAGCCCCCAATACCCACACCTCGTTTGGATCAACCTTTCACGGATCAATCCACGCAGCAACCTTCACATGAAGGTTGTTCGCGTGATTCATCAGTATCACTCCGAGAAATCCTCGCATCCGAGGATCGTCGTACAACGAGACCGCACCTTAGCCCAGAGCGAACCAATGGTACTTTATGGTAAGGAACATTGTAACAATTCATTTCTAATTTTTATATTAACGTTTACAGTTATATAACTAAGTATATTTATATACTCGCATAGGTTCGGTCGTCAGTCCCAGATACGGAAGACAATTGTGAGCATCTTCCAGAGTGATTTTCAGGGTCCTTGGCTCAGTATCACTCGTGTCCCTCCAGCGACTCTGGAGCGTTGGTTTTGTGCATTTACAGTAAGTTTTCAAATTCAAACTATTCTTTTAATTTCATTTATTGTTTTATTCCTGTATCAATCGAAGAACACGTCTGATCACGAAAGGCAGGAAGAATACCTCGCCCTCTACACGTATCCACACCTCGGGATGGATTCCAACGATTGGAACTTGTCTGCTAGGACTCGAATCTCTATTCGGTTTTGCACTTCGAGAAAACGAGACTTAGAACTTGTTGAGCTTTTTGGATCTCACCAAAAACTCTCAAGAACGGTCTGGAACGGACAGTCCACTAACGCAGACCGTCCGTTCTGCTTCTGGAACGGACGGTCCACGTGCATTTCTGGACCGTCCGTTCTGGGCTCTGGGTATTTTCGTAATTGAACCGAAATTAGGGTAAAATCACTTTATAAGAAGGAGATGGCGTTCGTAAAGATCACGAACAAACTCTATTCGAGATAGGTAGACATAGTGTCTTGCTAGAGACCGCCTATGACTTGTATATCCGAAATAGGGATTTCGGGTTATACTGCTATGTCGAATGAGCCTACAGGGTCACACACGCAGGGAAGGACGAAACCGCACGAGGAAACGACGAAAAACCGAGACAGAAGGGTTTGGAACGGACGGACCGGAAGGCCAGAACGGACGGTCCACCAAGTCCAGACCCGACGGTCCAGAGTGCGCGGTCTGTCCGTTCCAGAAGGTCTGGAATGGACGGTCCACTGGGATTTGTACCTCTCGTAAAAGAGAGAGATATCGCTGGGCCCCTCGTGTGAGCGAGACTGTAGAAATGTGTGACCGCACTATAGACGAACGTCGTCTATTTCAGACAGTCGAACTCAGTGAATGAGAAAGCAGTCGAATCAGATAAGGTGGCTTGTCCATGCCTTATGTTCGACATATGATATCGCGATACAAAAGGATCATCAGCCGGAATCATCACTGGTGTTCGTAAGATCACGAACCAACTCTATTCGAGATAGATAGTCATAGTGTCTTGCTAGAGACCGCCTATGACTTGTATATCCGAAATAGGGATTTCGGGTTATACTGCTATGTCGAATGAGCCTACAGGGTCACACACGCAGGGAAGGACGAAACCGCACGAGGAAACGACAAAAAACCGAGACAGAAGGGTTTGGAAC